GCCCGCCCGCCCAAACAGCAAAAAAGATGACACCCTCGGAAGGGGCGGGGGCGTGTTTAAACACTCTTACCAAGCCCTTCTCGCTCTCGGTGGTTTCCTAAACCCTGAACCCTAAATCCCAAACCATTAGATCATATTAAGCCCTTCTCTCCCGGGTGGTTAGTAGGAATTCAGGGAGGGGGCGTGGAGTTTGGTTTCCTTCAATCCGTACTGAGAAGGAGGTATTTCTTTCATCCTGATATTTCAAACCCTGCACCCTAAACCCTGAACCCTACACTCCAAATCCTAAGCCCTTAACCCCAAGCCCTTAACCCTATACCCTAAACCCCAAATCCTAAACCTTTTACGTAACCCTAAACCCTAAACCCTGCTCCAAAACCTGCTGGGGATGCTCCCATTCCACGGAGTGTATTTTTCTCCTCATAAGTCGGAGTTTCCAAAATATCCGTGAATATTGATATTTAGGGTTTAGGGTTGCTTTAAAGGGGTTTATGGGGCCATGTAGGGGTAATGGGAAAGAAAATGGAAGCTACAATTTAGGGTTTAGGATTTTGGGTCGGAAAGGAATCCCAATAATGAGGAGCATAGAAATATTAGGGGTCTATCTTGGTGCCCTTTTTAAATGGACCTCACACTAAACCCTAAACCCTAGGATTTGTGGTTCAGAGTTTAGGATTTACGGTTTGGGGTTTAGAGATTTAAGTCTAGGGTCTAGGCTACAGTTATTAGATGGGAATCCTTCCCATCACGAAGAAAGGATCCAAACAAAGGAACGACACCAATAAATGATCCCAGTACTACGTTGGGGAGTCTAATAAATCATTGCGGGGTTCTCTTTGTTGGATCCTTTCGGGGTTCTGGGAAGGAGATCCTAAACCCCAAACCCTAAATCCCTAAACCCTAAATCCCTAAATCCCTAAACCCTAAATCCCTAAACCCTAAATCCCTAAACCCTATATTCTATCTACTTAAGGAGCAGAGTCCCCATCAAAGCAGGAGACTGGCTCTGGAGTCGACAGCGGGGATCCAGCTCCGCAGATATCGTCTCGGACATGCAGCTAGTAGCCCCTTGGCAGGTTTGGGACTTTTGGGGTGTGGGCTTTAGGACTTTTTGGGGTGTGGGGCTTTAGGACTTTGGGGGTGTGGGCTTTAGGACTTGGGGGTGTGGGCTTTAGGACTTTGGGGTGTTGGCTTTAGGGGTTCAGGGGTAAGGTTTCGGGTTTAGGGTATGCAGGGTTTAGGGGTTTAAGGGTTCAGGGGTTTCGGGTTGCCCTGGGGTAACCAGTATACCCATAAAGAAGATGGGTCATGCCTAAGCCTTGGTGCCCTGACCTTTTTCTAGGGCAGAGGGTTATTTTAGGAGATGCTTGAGGAAAGGCTCAGGACTTTAGGGCTGCTTGTTGTTGTAGGGTTTAGGGGGTTTAGGGGTTTTAGGGGTTTAGGGGGTTTAGGGCTTAGGGTTTAGGATTCAGGGATTCGTGATTCGGGTCTTCCCAGGTCTCAGAGCGGGATTACGTGGTCGTATGCTGGTGGAAGAGCGACAGCACTGTTAAGAAGCCGGTCTCCCCAGGTGAGGGTATTCTCTTGTTTGCTGATTATTAATCCTTGCATAGTAGTAGTAGTAGCAGCAGCAGCAGTTGCAGTTGTAGTAGTAGGAGTACTTAATATTCAGCACCCCCCCCCCCGCTCCCTAAAACCAAAAATTCCCGATAAGGGACCTTATCTATAAGGGACCTTATCTACTAGTATTGGGTGACATTTAATACTAGGGTGGAGGGGCTGTTTGATATTGGTATGAAGGGATTATGAGGCGTATGCTGCTCGATTGAATCTACACCTGCGCAGCTCTGAGTGTGTTCTCAACTTCCTATCTGAGCCTGCTGCTTTCGCAAACCTGTCCATGGCTTCGAATGGAGGCAACCCTTACATTAGGCCAATGAGCCCCTCATTTCTCTTAAGTTCAAGGACGGAGACCCTAAATCCCAAACCCCAAGCCCTATACCCTAAACCCTCTAAACCCCATACCCTACGCCCTAGACCCTAAACCCTAAAATGGGAAATGAGCCCCTCGTTTTCTTTATTGGCTTCGGGGGAGTGGCCTAAGGCTTGTCTCAGGGCTGCCCAGTGGCGAAGATCTTGCCACGCGGTTCAGGGTTTAAGGTTGAGGTTGTGGGGTTTTGGGTCAAGGGATTTGGGGTTTGGGCTAAGGTTTTAGGGCTTTGGCTTTATTAGGATTAAGGGTTTGGGGTTTGCGGTTAAAGGTCGGCCAGTGCGCAAGGAAGATTCGAAGCGCCAATAGCTTCTACTTCACTTTAGCAGCCATTCGCGCTGCGACCTAAGCTTACTTTTTCGGTACTGGGGGTATAAGTGTCCGCCTGAACCCTGAGATGTAGTACAATATGATTAGGGTTTAGGGCTTAGGGTTTAGGGTTTAGGGTTGAGGGTTTAGGGTTTAGGGTGATGAATCTCAGGGCAACGACTTTGTCCTGACTGGCTACACTGTTGCTTGCCGTGAGTCGGAGAATGGAAAAGAAAATGGATCCCTACACATGGGGATTGGTCTAAATTCCCTATAATACGGGGTCCTATATTTGGCTTCCCATTATATTACGGTGCCCTATATAAATTTCCCCCATTTTGGGAACAGTAATTTAGGGAAACTTCCACATAATATTCCTCGGTGGTCAGGATATAGGGTTCAAAGTTTGGTTCTGCGAACATGGACCTCTTCATCATTTTGCTCATGCAACGCCAACAGGAATCCAGCCCATTTGCATTACCTAGCAGCTAGGCAATCTTCAAGGGTCTATGTGCCAATGCCTGAGTACTGGGGACTTGTAGAAGTTGTCGTAGTGTAGGTTGTGGGGATTCTTGGGTCCGTGGAATGGGATACAGGAATCAGCGCCTTTTCCAATTTCTCCCATCTTCCTCGTGCAGTCCAGCTGGTTATTCTCTTTGGCTGCCGATTTGTGGACCAACAAGCGCAGGTTGAGTCGTCTGGTAGAGCCTAGATAGTCATAACTAGGCAATACCCCATAGGCTGTTGAAGTACGATTGCAGACACTAGAAGTGTTTCGTGATGCGCCTACCTGCGGCAGAGCTCTGGAACTGCATCACAGTTGTTCAGCAAGATGTTCTTACTTAGTTGTGCTTGCTCAGGGACATACTCAAGCCTTTCTGGGTGGCTCCTAGCTCGAGAGCAAATCTGTTATCGAAAGCCCATGAAGCCTTAACACCCTAAGCCCCGGAACCCTCAACAGCAAGCCGCCCCGAACCCTTAAGGGGCTACATCCATGAGCATCGCATTGCCATGATGGCGGCTGTGATTTAAGAGGACTCACTCACTCCGCACACGCAGTCATTGCCACAGTCAGAAGTCAGAAGTGTGCGCCGCAACAGGAGTCTTCGGATGGATGGCTCATACATGTTGTCTTCCCCAAAGGTTCCATGTAGCTATACAGTGTGTGCTTGAGCCCAACAACTATGAGAACCCATTTGAGTCCAAAGAATCTTTGGGTATCTAGACTTTGGTCAGAATAGCCATGCGGCCTACATGGCACCTGCCTTCTACTTGATGAAGTTCTGTCCGTTGAACTTACTGTTGCTACTGCTACTGCTACTTGCTGTTACTGCGCCTCAACAGTATATGACCCCATTCTAGTAGTTTCCATTATCCCTATATAGCCCTACTATAACCCGTAGTAGCTGCTAACATGACATCTAATGGGCAGTATGACTGGCCCAAGTCATTGACCCTGCCTCAAATCCTGGTTACATCCAAGGGCGGTGATCTCGACTCGTACGTGAATGCTGGTGGTGCGGACGTGTTCCTGATGAACCTCGGATGAGTCTAGCGCTTGGGATCTCAGAGGTTTCAGTTTGTGAGGCGCCCCGAAGGGTCCAAGTGCTCAGTTTTGCGCATTTGCATACTTCCCCACCCTTTTACCACAGTTACTATTTCCCAAAGGCCCAGCAATGCCCTTCTCCCAATAGTGAAACCTTCTACCCCCCTAATAGTTGTTTTTTAACGTTGCATTTTGATGTACCATGATCAGAATATTTAACACTGAGGGTTGTGGGGCGGGGGGCTTGGATGTGAGAGAAAGCGGTTTGCTGAACCCTATACCCTAACCCATAAGGAACGAATGACTTGAGTTTCTTGTGCAGAGGTAGCTGGGATTCCGCCTAGGCAGGCTTTCCCGGACAGCGCTTGGGCATCAAGAGCTACCCTAGGGATCCAAATAGCCCAATGTAGGTCCTAAAGGGTTTTGGGTTTGGGTTTAAAGGTTTGGGGTTCAGGCTTTCGGGATCCAAAGAGCCCAACGTAGGTAATATTTACAGACTTTCGGGCCCAATATAGGTATTATTTGTATACTTGGATCCCTAGGGTTAGGTTTGGGATATGTGTGTAGGCTTGCACGCAGCATTTTTAGTGTCAACAGTAGGCGTCGGCGTGCATTTGACTTGCTCGAGTATTTGCTCAATAAATAACTTGCAAAAAAAATGTCCTACTTGCGTAGGCTAAGAAGCAGGGACTGATCAACCTTACCGGTACGGCAGTCACCGTACAGCTACACAACCCCGTAAGTACCAGCAAGTAATTTATGGCTCCCTGGAATTTCTGGTCCTGCACCTTCACACAAAATCCTTGTAACTCCAAGCCCAGCGCCTTAATGAAACCCACACCCCTAACACTGCATGCATGTCTTATATATATATATATGCATACATATATTTTGCGCTAGTTTGTACACGCTTTTGTATCACAGATAATCTGCAGCACATCGCGCATAATTGCCGTGCTACAGAGTTTATCCAAGACCTCAGGGGGGATGTACAAGTTCAATCCCCTGCATAAGCCCTCAGAAACCCCAATGCAATCTCGTCAGAGTCCGCCCTCTAAACTCTAGCTTAGGGTTTAGGGTTTAGGGATCCGCTTTGGAGGTCAGGGTTAGACTCCCTTGTTTCCCTCTTATTTAATATCTAGGGATGAATAACGTGAATCAGGGTAGCTAGAACTTGGAGCGATAAAGCCCAGGCCTTAAACTCAACCTTCAACTTTTACATATGTACGTAGGTACCCGGACTGCATGCCCCAAATCCTAAGCCCTTAACCCTTAACCCTAGACACGCAACCACGAAGCCCAAAGCCCCAAATCCGAAGTCCTCCCCAGCTAGTAGGTTGGCAGTAAGTACTCATAATCTGGCAATCCGCACATACCCCTACATAACACAATCCCTATAGGTACAGCCCTAAATCCAAAGCATTAGCCTCAAACCCTGAATCCTAAACCCTAGGCCCTATAAATCCTAAATCCTGAACCCTGAGCCCTATAGACCCTAAATCTTGCATCCTAAATCCTAAGCTTTCCCGAGCTAGGAAGTTGGACAGTGAGGGCTCCTGGCTTTGGACACACCAGCGTGGCTCTGCCTTCGAAGCGGCTTGGTTTCGCCAGTGTTTTAGGTCTTTAGGAAGTAGGGCTTTAGGATGTGGGGTTTTTGAATTTAGGGTTTGGAGTTTTAGGATTTAGGGCTCAGAGTTGTAAGGTCTAGGGTTCAGAGGTACAGGGTGTAGGGGTTTAGGGTTTTTGATTCAGGTTTGGGTCCGTGGAACGGACAGTGTGAACTATACGCTAACAAACAACCAGTAACTTGGATATGACAAGCCTCTACCCAACTTTCAGCTTCAGCAACCTATGCACGTAGAACAGGCTTGAAACACGCTTCAAATTTTGGGTTTGGGGTTTAGAGTTCGGCCTTCCTTTTTCAGTCGAGAGGGTGGGCTTAGAACGTAGTGTCGGCTTATTTTGACGTATGAGGTTTCTTAGCAAGCTCCCTTCCTCAATTCGCAATTCAGCGCCACATAACCTCATCAATATTTGTTATCTTTTTTTTGATTGTCTTTACGCATTACGCACCCCTAAGGTCGCTGTGGATCTCCATTCTGAGAAACTCCCATACCGCCGATACACAAAGCCCAGAATCCTTGAACAGCCCTCAACCATCACATGCAAGTATATACATATGTAATCAGTCTATCCTAATACTAAGAGGAATGATCTTCATGTATCCCTAAACCCTAAACTACTATGTGTGTGTCATATGTAGGTATAACCCTAGGCCCTCAACCCTAAACTACTATGTGTGTCTAACGGGGATGAAGGATGTCACGTGTTTGTCAGGGTCATAAGGCCTGTTTTCGGCTCATTGTGCCAGGCGCTACATCCTTCCCCCTAAGCCCGAACAGTTCATGAAGGCATGACATTGTTACTGGAATATGGGTGAACGTACATATTTCGCGTCCCACTTGAGGACCAGAATAAAAACCATGGGTCATGTTGCTATGTAGCTTTTGAGCATCTGGTAACTGGCAAGCCATGTTTCAGAGTTATTCATCATAAATCCCATGCCAAACCCTAGAACACGCACCCCCCAAACAAAGTTGCGTTCCGATGCTTGAGGACCATGGAACGGCGCTCATGATCAGCACTGGCACCTTAGAACCCTGTTGTGCTAACTAATTGGCTAGTTGGGGCCATTGGGTTTAGGGTTTGAGGTTTGGTGTGGGCTGACGGCTGGGCATACGGTTTAGGGTTTTGGGCTTCGGGGGTAGGGATGAGAGGATGAGAAGGAATGAAGGGAAACGGGAAAGTATTATATTGTCGGGGATTCTTAAACCCTAAACTTCCTAGACGATGAGCCCTTTTAGGGGCCACTATAGGAATGAATATCGCCATTCCCTATTGAGGCCGTAATGACAACCAGTAATCCTGAGTAAGCCGATCCTGCAGTGACTTGCTTCCGCTTCCCTGACTTACCACCTGCACATGCGAAAACAGAAGCCACATAAGCGTGAAGACTAGTTGCGAGACTAGTTGGTAACTTCCATGAATAAGGACTCCAGTATACCCCTAATATTGGGAAACCACCGGTTCAATCTAGGTGGGGTAGCATGGTTGCATGTACTCTATGATCTAAGGCCTGCTGTCGATTTAGATACTTTGCCATCTAAATGGATGCTAAACCCTTACCCAGAGTACTCGTATACTCTACAGAAGGATAAGGATACTAGCAACCACTTGGTACAAAGCCCTGTTTTACAAGGACATGTGTCACTTTCCCCTCTACCCGAAATGCCAGACGCCTTGCTCTGAAGGCGTTCGCGGAGGGTTCAAGTACTTCAGTCATGTAGTTTCTAGAGAGTAGAAAGGAACCTGGAAGCTGCGATTTAGAGACTAGGGTTGGGCTTTGAGGGTCACGAAGTGCCCAAGTACCTTTAAAGAAGTAGACAGCATGGGCCCAAAAGTCTTCTATATGAAGCATGATGCCAACAGTTCTGACGTTACAGACTCCAAACCTTCAATTGGGTTCCGACGTAGGACTGTTTTGCTTTTTAAGGTCCTATAAGGGTTCCTTGAAAGCTATTGTTGTACTAAAAACAGCCGCCTTTTCGTTTCTAGGTTTGTGAGCACCCTGGTCAAAGTTCGCTTGGCTAAGCCCCGCAGGGAATCCCTACTTGGAGGTTCATGGAACTTGATGTAGACCCGTGATTAAGAACCTCCCTCCCCTTGACAGGGGATATAAAAAGGATCCTAGCAGTAGGGCTCTTAAGAAGGAGGGTTTATTCATCGGGAGAGTTTATTCATCACGGGTTTGCATTAGTTAAAAACCTTAAACCTTCGTTTTTAAGCAGTTGGTCCAGCGTTTTGGGCTTTGGGTTGGAGCTTCATATTCATAAAAGCCGGCTTATGTCCCCCTAGTTTTAGTTGGCTTCATAGGCGCTACTCCATTTGTAAGTAGCCTTCTAACCCAGCTAGAAATGATGACCAAGTCCTTTGAACCTTGAAGTCGGGCATGTGTTCTGCGAAGCACAGTGCTGCCCAGGCAAGTCCATACCCCTTGATATATTTTTGGTGAAGACATTGGAAAATACCATAGTTGCTCGGAGTTTTGGGTTTTGAGGGCTTGGTTGTAGGGTTTCAGAGAGCCCAATGCCATTTGACTAAGGGAGATATCATTTTAGTCATACAAAATGTCTTAGCATCCTGTAGAGTTGTTTCTTAGTTAAGGTGCAGTGGGAGCTTTCGGTGACTGCTGAGGTTTCGGGTTCGGGGTTTAGAGCTGAGGTACAATCTACGTGGTCGGTGACACAAGAGGCGCTTCCATTTGCAAATTCATTGTTTTCAAATGCCTTCTCTGTTGAGTTTTGGTAGGGTCGTTCCCCCTCACAGTCACTGTCCTCAAAGGGGCCTTATGAAGGGGCTGCTATAACTTCTGTTCCCCATGATGGCAGCTATTACTGCAAGTGGGAAGGACCTGAAGATAAAGAGTTGAGCCAATCAGGTATCGACTCCTAGTAGTATGTCGTCCCCAGATCCCTTAAGGGGCATGGAAGGGCAAGTACTCCTCGGCTAGTTCAATTGCAGCTCGGACGGAAGCGCTATTCAAGGATTCTGGCCCACAAAGACTTCCCCCCAAGCTTGCAGTTCATCCGGACGGCTTGACGAAATGGGGTGGAAAATGGTGGAACCTGATGTTGTGTGCTTAAACGGTACAGGCTTGAACATCCTCTTCGTTTCTTTCATAACCTTCTTCGCATATCTCTCACGATCAATAAGGCTCCAACACCTCCTGGCCAAGAATGGTACTTTCTTTAAAACGTTTCTGATTGCTGTGTTACATCTGGAACTCTAAGCCCTCAACCGTGGCCGTTTCCCCTCAAGACCTAGGCTACAGTTTTCGGGCTTAGGGTGTAGCCGTACGGGGCCAAGTACGGACTTTGATGGTTGTTAAAAAGGCCCAGAGCTTCTACGCAGGAACCCATTCGGGCCCATTTTTTCGATGTTACTTTAGCATTTAAAGATCGGCACAAGGCTTGAGGAGCCCCATGCCCAAACCCCCCAGCGCAAGGTTCTCTGGATGGAAACATCAACAAAGGCTTCGCGGATATCTTCCTTATGGAGACCTGGATGGCATCCTTTGCTCAGGGATGCTTGCAACCTAGGGTTGAGGGTTGAGGGTTTAGGGTTTAGGGGTCCATGTACCCAATAATTAGGTACTTGGGATTTGGGTAATAGTAAATTATAGTACAGGTTTTGGGTAAGTATCTGATTATTGGGTACTTGGACCCTTAGGGAACATCCTGATCTTTAAACTCAGCTTTTGGCGCCAATGACTTACAATTCAGTAGTAAGTAGTAAGTTACTACCCCTGAATGAGTAGGTACAGGCCACAAAACTGTGGGTAATTGGGTTACAGCTGAACCCTACCGGTGTTCAGCGAATGTGGGATTCGGTTTGGGGAGCACCGGGGCCCCAGAACGCCCACTGCCTGGGTTGCTGTTAAGGAACTTAATTTAAGTTACTATATTGGGGAAACCCTGTTATTTACTATGTATACCCATTATGGTAACTTACTTTAAGTCCCTTAACAGCAACCCAGCTGCAATCAGTCGACTGCCCCTCAAGTGAACGCCGCGAGCGTCATGTGCCTATGTCCTGCCGCAGCAGAGCTGCAACGTTTCTCCTACGGGCAGAAGCGTATGCTCCAAGACGCGAGCAGGGACGAAACACACTGCGTTAAACGCTGCCAGCGCTGAAAAAGACAATGGCGTGAGTTTGGTGACCTCCTCGCCCAAATTGAGGTGACTTTTGTGGGCTTGGCGAACAGCCTTGAAGAATTTTTGGGTTAGCACGGCAGAGAGAGCTGGTCATGCGACGTTTGTCAAAGATGCCCACCTCATTTTGTTGCTGCGTTTGGTCGCTGCAGCATGCAGGCGTCGCATTGGACATGAAGGGCTCTCGCACGGGGTGGGGGGTAATATTAGGGGAATTGTTGGTATTGCTTTAAGACCTTAACCTACCAACACCTGTTTTTTTTTGTGGGTTCCCTATAAATTCTATCCTAGGTTTTTTAGTAGGACCCATCAAAAAATGATTTTGTCAGGTCCAGGAAAGGTTGTGTTTACAAATACAAGCAGATTCTACTTAGATACCCTGAACATCTGAGAGGAGCCAGATGGCCCAGCATACCTCGATAAAACAACATTACATTTTCGATTTCCACTATTAGTTAGATTTAGAAGTGCAAGAGGGCTTTGGTAACCCATAGCCCCGAAAAAAGGATCCTATGTTTATCATATTCTGCTTCTTAGAGGTCTGGAAGACCAAAAGCCTCCTATTGTTGCAGACTTAAAACAGGTCTTTGTCTCCGAGCATCTGATAATGTATCTATACATACATACACATCTCTCATTCTCTCTATTCGGCGGACACCCCCCCCCCCAGTAATAGTGACTACAAGGGATAATAAGGACTATATTGGGGTCTTCATATATTCCTATTATACCACTCTTACAGGGTGAGGGGTGCCCCCGAATAAATAAATAGGTGAATATGAATATATGCATATATATATATACATATACATGTATGTATATGTATATGTATATCTATAGTCCCAAGCTGGCTTCACTTCAGGTCTTAGAATTAATAGTCAACTTTAAACCGACCCACAATGGCCAGTTGTCTGCTCAGGAGTTCGACAGTGAAGGCAATTGGCAGAGGACGCAGCAGCGAGGCACTGCAACTGGGACCAAGCGTTGGGGATTGGATATGAGCCATGGTCTAAACTCCTTAAAGGGGGTTATATAGGGGACTATTTTAGGGCATACTAAGGGGGATACTAGGAGTTTAGATGAAGGCTCATATACTTTAAGACTCGGGATTTAGGGTTGAGGATGTAGAGATTTGGGTTCAGGATTTTGGGTTACGGGTGTGGGAATTCGATTGCCCAGGATGGAGAATCAAATGGAAAATGAAGTGGAAGCCTGGACTATAACCCTAAGGGTCCAAGGACCCAAATAATAGAGTGGCTTTTTATTACTAACATTAAAGGTACGTGGGTTCTAAAACCCTATTATTCGGGTCCTTGGACCCTTAGGGTAAGTTAATGACGTGTTTAATGCAGACACCTAACTGATAATCCCACAATCCTTGTAGAGTAATAGCATATAACACCGCAAAAACCTGAGATCACTTAGACAGCCACGTTTGTCTAAAGATGCGAATCCGAAACGATACAGTAGGGCGCAAAAAGAGAGTAGGGCTTTGGGTGGGTGATATATGCGATGGTTAAAAAGGAACAATACTGGTAATTGGTTAGGCTTCTACATAAAGCACGCCCTCCGCACCAACAGAGTCCCAGCTTCCATTTCTTCTGCCGTGTTCTTTCTTATTTGGATTTTCAAGTTGTCGGTCAACACGCAAGCTTCTACAAAATTACTATGACAGAAAACTCCAAAACCTAACCTAATACACTCCTGCTGCTCCTTTCAACGCGTCCCTTTGTACTTAGGCTCCTACAGTTTGAGGTGAGCAAGGATTGGCGGGGGTGTACTTACGTGCAAAGCCCCCATAGGGTTGGGGGTGGAGTTTGCGGTCCAGCGTGTAGGTTTTGGGGTACAGGGCTTGCGGTGTAGGATCTAGGGTTAAGGGTGGCATTGTTCAAGCCAGATCCGTTACCAATGAGTGGAGAACTAAACGGAAACAAACATAGAGCATGAACTGGAGACTGGACATATCTAGGTTTTCACAGAAGAACAGAAGGTGTTCAATGTAAAAGCCTGAGTAGTCATCAATATTCCCCCCTCAACTCCAGTGCAACATGGCCCAGTGCCCAATTGGGAGTCATTCAGTTATATATATATATAGATATGTATTTACATATACGGATATATATATATATACATACGCAATTATCAGTAGTAGCCCCCTAGGCGTACCTCTTCTTGCAAACACAACCAAAATCCAAAAATCCAAAAATGTGTTCAAGATTAAAGGCTGAATGTCTTCCCATCGCTATAGTATTCTGACGGAGCTTAGGTGGCTGACGATGTTGCCACAAGCGCTCTGCTCCATGGCATGTTGTTTACCTTTTGAGGCGTCTCATTCGACAAGGAGGTGGAAGTAGGATTTAGGGTATAGGTTAGGTGGACCCCCCACCCTGCAATAGTGACTATAAGGGATAATAAGGATTGTCTTAGGGTCCTCTTATATTCCAATTATACCACTATTAAAGGGTGGGGGGTCCTCCTAAGGTATAGGGTTTCAGCTGCAGGGTTGAGGGGTTTGGATTCCCAATGAAGAGAACCTAGACATGAGCCTTGCGTACTATCTGAATATCGGTCTCTACTCTCGGATTCTCTGCGTCCGGGCTTTCAAACGATTCCGCCGACAGGCGCAAGACTGTAACCCTTGCAGAACTGACTCATGCCTGTGACTCTGCCCAACTATTCGTGGAACATATGCATGCAAGTTCAGCATTGTTGTGTCTGTTTAGACTGCCCATGAGAAGAAGCCAGGCATGACGATCCATGTTTACCCTGATCTTCCACCACCTGGCTTTCCACGGTTCTCCACAACCACCTCAAATACCCCGCGACAGACCGTGCCTTCCCGATGGTGTACGAACGGCTGTGTGATTCGTTGCATGTGCAACCAGACAGATGCTTGTATAATCTTGTATTATCCCACCTTGAACTGAATCCCACACGCCCCACAATCGCAATTACAGCGAGTTACTTGCGTAACGTTTGCGTAACTGTTGCGAATGTTCGCGAACTGTCGCGTGACTTGTGACAGCAGAGAGGCAGTGGGAGACTTGTTCTCCCCTTGTTGGGTTACGCGTCACTTTTGCATGGCCTTTGGGTCATGTTTGCTCCTTCTTTGTTCGGCTTATGCATCCTCGAATTTGAGCCGCCGCCTGTCCTGCGAGACTCAAATGGGATGCATTCCCTACCCGTAACCTTCCAAATGGTGAATCTAGAGGCCATGCCTGGTTCAGCTCCTCAAGATTCCACGGTGTTCATAGAAACCACCCGGCTTTTCACGGTCTCTGGAAGAATGAGGTTTACTGACATTGCATGCTTGTTTCGAGTTGGTATGTTACTGGCGGTTTGTGGAAAGTAACGACAAAGGGGAGCCCCTGAAGTCAACTCATCTAACATCCTAGACTAGAGGGGAAACACCACAATCTCCCAGTAATCTGCATATTTTCCTTGTTTGTTTTGGGATACTCCTTGTAGAAAACCCCGCCCTGCTTTGCCATATTGGTCCAAGTACCTAAATGGTAGAGCCCAAGGTACTTACATCCAGGAGTTAATTAGGGCCGAGATTGTATATTTTTCATGTATTTGGACCTCAGCTCCCTGTGGCCCCCAAACCCTAAGCTGCCTTTTGGTTTCGAGGCTTTTTGGCAGTGGCTTTGCTGTTGCTGGCACCTCGTCAGAGTGTAGGTTGGGGATCTTTCTTTAGGGCTTAGGGTTTCAGGATTTAGGGCTTAGGGTGTAGCGTTTACGATTTAAGGTTTTGGGTCTAGGTTTTAGCTATAAGGGTTTAGGCTTGGGATGCTTTAGCCGGCCCATTCTCTCAGGCTGCTGTTTGTAAAGATGTTCAAATTCATATTGGGTATCTTTTTTTCACAGAATAATGGGCCTCGTTTATTTTTTTTGACAGGTAGAGATTTCCTTGCCCTTGGGGTCCAAGTACCCAAGCAGTATCGAATTCGGGGCCCCAAAGTCATTCCTATGTTGAAAACTTTCTACTAGTTAGGGACTTGCACCCTCAAGTTCTGCACTGCAAAAAAGGAACCCTCCCTAGGGAGGATGAGACGGACAAAGACACGCTAAGCCTTTCCTGTTCGGAAGTCGGGGCTCTGTATTGTATACATATACATATTTATGCACAAGTGAATCGTAGGTTGAAAAATGATGGCTTCCCGTCGGGTATCCTGCGTATAAGGGGCCTCGTTACTAAGGAGCATAGAACTCAACTTAATCCCCAAACCCTACCTAGGGTAACCTTATACCTCAGAAACAGATCAAGATACCAACACGTCAGGTGAACATCCCCCCCACTTCGGCAGGTGCATGCGTTAGTCTGGGCCAATAAAGGTTGGAAGAGTGGATGGTTCGTAGCGATCTTTACACGGGTGAGCTATTGCTTTGCATAAGATATGATGTGTTTCACTCCCTGAACCACACCATGAATCCCAAGCTGGAGGCTACGCCCTGATCGTCGGAGTCAACCCAGTTGTCCTCAACTACATGAGCATACTGAAGCTGTTAGTGTCATGAAAGAAAGGCCTTGCAAGTGAAGGTGCCGGTATTGGCAACCCCTGGAGAGCGCCTTCAAGCTTGACTTTACCCGGAGGGTGCCAGGGCCCCCTTTTTCACAAACGGCATGATCTGAGCCTGAGCTTACAGTCCCCCTTAAGTAGATAGAGTATGGCTTTGGGTAAATTATAATAAGATCCTCATATACATCACATTCTATCTACTTAAGAGGAATTATAATTCCCAAGCCACTTTTTTGTGAGCCCTGCGCTTTAACACTGCAGGCTTCACACAGGGAGCCATGGATGGAAACACCAATGCTGGAGATGAGGCTTGCACTTGCTTTTGGATTCAGGGGGGTGGGTTCTGGGTTTGCTCCAAAGGTTCATGTCGCGAATATGGGGTATATGGGGATCTGATTATAATTTACCCAAAGCCATATTCTATCTACTTAAGGGGGACTATATATAGATCATATTTCGGGCCCTGCATCATTCGCATAACTTGGACCTCTTGAGTTCATTGGTTTGGGCCGTGGTCTTGGGCTTGCGGTAGGCAATGCTTGGGGGGCAGGCTGTGTTCGAATTCATATGAATTGTACTTAAAATGTGGATACTAGAGTCCTCAATGTAGAGCTGGATTATGTACTCCTTTTGTATATGTCTATAACATGGTACTTAGTTCAAGCAGCAAAAACACACGACTCATGTGGATTACAGTCTGACTACCGTCGGGTTGCCTTGCAAGGAGCAAGCATTTGAACACATCTCTAATGAATGTCCAAGTACCTATCCCTAAACCCTACATCACAAACCCTAAACCCTAAACCCCAAACCAAAACCCTAAACCCCAAACCCTAAACCCTATACTCTAGGCCTAAGAGGCACCTTTGTAAGTACTTTGGCCCAACTGTCTGTTGTTTAGGTACGTGGAACTTCAGGGTCTGGCTACAAAGGTCAGGCTTCGTGGGGTAGACCCTGAGGGTCCTAGCAGTTGGTGTTTAGACGAGCGAAGGGATCTTGAGGTTCCTATAGTACCCTTTAGGGTTTAGGGTTTAAGCTGCCCCAAACACTATAGTCTCAATGTGTTTCGGGCACCTGAAGCCCTAGTATTTGGGTACTTAGAGGTGAAATGCGTTGCAGGGTACAAGGTTAAGGCTGCTAAGCGCATACAAAAAACTCTGAAGATCGTGACTCTGAGCTTGTATGGAACCGAAGTGTATCTCGTTCTTACCTGCCGGATTGATTGACCAGCAAGTAGTACACGGATTCGGTTGGCTGTATTGCAAGACGGAGACCTAATCCTCAACTGCAATTTCTTTGTCAGCATCCCTCCAATTGCAGTGAAGGATTCCACTCCAAGAGGAATGTTCCTTCATGAAGAAGAACCTACTCAAAGAGTCCATTGAGGTTCAGGTGTATAGTATATACATAGGGCCCAAGTGGTTTCCGCTTGAGGGTCTAAGTGTATGCTTGCTTTCTGGGTTGCATGGACAGTTCGGGTAACAGTAGAAATTCAAAGAAACGGCACAAGGAGGTAGACACGGTTACAGAAAAGTCGTGCAACGTATTCTGGCTTCATACTTGTGGCTGCAACCCAGAGGGGTCCATGTAACAATACAATCCCCTCCATTCAACATTGAAGATTACCACCCCACCTTAACATTTAATATGTCCATTGCCATTGTGATGTGTTGAAATTTACTGGGGGTGGGAGGGGTTCTCATATTGGGGGGCGGAGGTGGGGATTAGTATATACTTGGGTCCTAAGGTGTTTATGTGAGAAACCTTTGGGGTCCCAAGTATTTAATAGATACCTACATACTCAACGCTTTGGGCAAAAGGCAAGACCGCGAGATCCCTATGCTGTCCTCCTATCAAAGAACTTTCACTAAGTGGATTACAGGGTTTTGTACGAGTCATAGTGTAACTGTTTGTGTGGTTCTCTTGGAGAGCAGAAGGCTGTGAAATTTGGTAATACAAGGATATATCGCCGCAAAAGTTGATTTTTGGTAAACATTCAGTTTGGATTGGATTTCCGTGTTCCGCCGTAAACCCCTTGATGTAACGTGGGCCGGAGCTCACGTCAGGATGTCTTCGTGATGGAGTTTGATCAGAATGCACCTTGGCAGCCTCTTCGGAGTGGATCTCGTGCTGGGGCAGTTTGTTCAGCGTCTAGCTGTCTAGCCGAGCAAAGCAAGATTCGTGCGATTGGATGCTTCAGTGAATATGTACATGCTTTCGTGAGGGGGTTGCTGATGACACGTAACATCCTCGCGGTAGTTCAGGCCCAAGCCACCTACGTAGGAATCCTTTCGGGCCCAATTGTAAACTGTTTAGTCACTGGGCCTCTGCGGGATATGTGTTGGCAGGCTTCCTGGCTGCGGACACTGCAATGGGGCACAGCAGGACGTGATTTTGCCAGTCACTTGGCATATTCTGACAAGCGTTGCTATCGCTGGCTTGAGTACCATGCAAAAAAGCAGCGAGTGAACATACGAGTTTTGCTGCCCAGTAAAGTACGTGCAGCTCCGATGACCTTCTCGTGTTGCACCCCTTGCCAGCAAACCGAAATCCTAAACCGTGAGGGCTTTGGGGTTTAGGGACCCTAAATATCAGGTGCAATTGCCAGAGTGGACTCAAGTGCAACTCGACTTCATTCGCGGGTTGTTTGAAAGGGGTCCTTGTAGAGAAGGGATCATTCGGAAGAGACTTCCTTAAACGGGGAAGCTTACCAAAAATAAGGGAACCTACCGTGTGGCCATTTTGGGGACAAGTATTTGGAACAATAACCATGTGCATTGATTTTCACTGGAACAGAACATGGAAACTGGGGGTTAAACAGAGATGTATGAGGTACAGGGAATTTACCCCAAGAATGTAGAATGAGACAAAACAAAAGCAAAAAATCAAATGAAAATAACTATGGTCGGGGTAGTTGGAACAATTACAGTTCTATTCTCAGACCGCTACATCGGCCTTGACGGCACGAGCAGCGATGTAAAGAGAGCATCATCCAGGATTGTTTAGGTCAGTTTCTAAAAGTGGGGGTCCATCAGGGACCCCCAGAGATACACAGAGATTCTACGGGGATAATGGGCGGGCCTGTCAGGGATTCCATAGGGATCATTTTAAGAAATACCCTTTCTCCTGGGGCTCCAAGCATATAGATAGTATCTGAATCTGAGCCCAACGGGCTCCTTGATAAATGTATTCTGGACCCCAGTTATCTCACAATTTGGTATTAAAACCCTTTGGGATACACCCTACACCTTAATCCCTGAACAGCGAACACGACAGCGGCTTGCATTATCTTTTCTATTCCCTATTTACGCAGACTTTTTTCAATCCAGTGCGGGGTGTTTCTTCTGCTATTCTGTTATTTGCTTAAGAACAACACAGGAAATAGGGTAAGTAATATGGGGCCTACTATTGTCTATTTTTCAGGGTTCTTAAGCAAGCGATAGTATTCAGTTGATGATTCAGATGCCTGAGCTACGGCTTCTTAGGTTCAGGGTGTCCTTGGAGGTTGTTAAGTGTGTTAGGGTTTAGGGTGTTAGGCCTGCATTGCGGTTTTAAAGAGTTTACGGGTTAGGGGTTAAGGGTTTTAAGGCTTAAGGGTTTAGGGTTTAAGGGTTTAGGGTTTAGGGTTTAGGGTGTTAGGGTCTATGGTTGGAGTTTCATGGGACTTCATAGGATTAGACCGCTAGTTCTAGCCCTCTACATGCCCTCATGCCCTTATGGAGGCTACCCCAACAGTACTACGTCCCATGAAGCTTCAAGTAGTGTAGGTGGCGGTTTTGCTTACTGATGGTTAGTTGGGGATGATGAAGTGCGTTGCCGTCACTATCATACTGGATTACATGGGGACCGCTACAGGGATCCACTCCTCCATCCCCTATACACACTAGCAGGATAGCGCCAAACTTAGAGTCTACATGTTATATATCCCTAAAAAATCTTCAATTTCCATGTCAGGTTCCATTTGCTTATCATTTCGATTTCCACTCCTCCATTCCCTACTAACAACCAGTAGGTACTTACACCCTAAAGCCAAACACCTAAGCCCTGAGCCAGCGAAACCCAAGCAGTAAAATAACCCCCTTGCAACCCTAAGCCCTAAATCCTAAATCCTGACCTCCAAACCCCTGAACCCTAAATCCTAAACCCCTGAATCCTAAATATGAACCTCTAGACCCCTGAACCCTGAATCCTTAACCCTAACCCCTAAACCCCTGAACGCTGAATCCTAAATCCTAACTTCAAAACCTCGGAACCCTGAATCCTAAACCCTAACTTCTAAACACCTGAACCCTAAACCCGTGCCTTAGCCCTGAGCTCATCTCTCTAAATGTCACCAAGCCAGGCTCCAGACACGAAACTTGAAGAGCGTGGTGTTTAGGTTAATAAGGTTATAGGGCGTGGGATTTAGGGTTTATAGGGCTTGGTGTTTCGGGTTTATAGGGCTTGGGATTTGGGGTTATAAGGTAATAGGGTTTGAGGTTGAGGGTTTTGGTGTTTAGGGACCCCTGGACCCTTTGTAAAGCACAAACCAGAGAAACCCCCAGTACATCCACAACCCCCCAGGCCCGATGTTTTCAGCTCGATCTGCAGAGACCTGAAGTTAGGACAATGACAAATCCTCTAAGAAATCTTTATGTTACGTGATAAGCTCCCTTCCATGGGTCCTTTCTAGGCAGTCCGTGCTATCTGGGAGTCCCCTGCGAATCTACCAAAAAAGCCCGAAACTCAATAACCTTAAGCCCTAAATACTAAGCAGCCGTGAATTCAACGCTTGGCTGCAACAAACACCAAGATTGAAGACTTCAGCGTAGCTGAATGGCGCGGCACGGTGAGTGGTCTGCTTTGGAATCCTATGCGGCAGAGCTGACCTTTTGCGAAGCCCAAGCCGTTTCTGGGGGCCACCAATGTCTGCATGGCATCAAGCCCTTTATCTTACTAGTTCTTAGTAGGGAGAGAGGGATTGTGATCCCTAGATGAGCTACGTTGGGGGGGGACCTACAGGGGGACTATATAGGGTTTTAGGGGGGACCTATTTAGGGATATACTACAAATTTAGTCCAGGGCTCATATGACCCCTGTATGGCCCTATATAGTGTATTCCTTTATTCCCAACTCACTGGCAGAAACTCCTAAGCCCCAAAGCCTAAAGCTTAAATCCTCAACCTTAAACCCTAAATGCCATACCCTAAACCCTATACCAAAATCCTAAACCCTATGCCAAAGCCCTAAACCACATACCAAATTAGTAAACCCTATACCAAAACCCTTAACCCTATACCAAAACCCTAAACCCCATACCAAAATCCTAAACTCTACACCCAAATCCTAACCTCTATCCCAAAATCCTAAGCACTATACCAAAATCCTACCTAGCTTTCGCTTGAGGACCTCCTCGTCGCTGGTCGGACCTCGGGAAGCCTCGCTGGCTTCAGGATCCTTTGATGCGGACCTATGACCCCTTTAGGGTTTAGGGTTTAGGATGCTGAGCTATGTCCCCAAGAACGGCACGGGCTATATATTGGGGTTATATTGGGATAATACAAAATAGCATGGAAGCCTTTTTTTCCGGGATTATATAGGGTATGTATATATCTATATATATGTGTGTGTATATTAGGGCTATACAGGATAATGGAAAGGAAATTGGAAACTTCTATAGCTTATATGGGGATTATATGAAATAGTGGAAAAGAAAATGGAAACCACTAAGGGTTTAGGGCTGAGGCAGTTTCTATAAAAATGCGGATCCCCAATGGAGACCCCAGCATCCATGCAGCCAATAGCCAATGGGACGCCATTTGGGAATGTACTCCAAACCCTAAGCCCTAAACCTTTCTGAGCATTGATCGGATTGAGGTGATAACCTGAGATTGACGGGTTTCAACAAAACGGAGATAGGTCACTGACCCAAAGGGTCCATGCAGGCATATAGGTTTAGGGTTTCGGGTTAGAGTATATACTTCGGGCCCAAGCGGTTCTCACAGAAACACTTCAGGACCCAAGTATATGTTAATTACATGGACCCTTTAGGTAAAGGTCAAAGCACCTCTACTGTTTATGTGATTTGGACCGAAATGAATTCCAGCATAGGTGCACGGGGGCAAGCTGTCTACTATTTGGATACTGGGCATTACACGTTGGAAGTGCGAAACCTGGCTTAGCCAAGAAGATGACTTTTAAAGCCTAAACCCTAAACCTCTAAACTCTAAGCCCCAAACCCCTAAACCCTAAACCCCTAAACCCTGAACCTCTAACCCCGAAACCCCTAAAGCCTCCATTTTGTTTTCCATTATCCCAACATAACCCCAATGTAACCCTGGGGGTAACATAGGGGCTTATAGGGATAATGGACCAGACAACCGAATTTTCTATTTAGGGTTTAGGCTTTCCCAAATTAGGTGTACATTTGGGGAGCCCCAATAATAAGCATAGTATTTGGTGGTCTATATTGAGGTCCCCCTATTCGGAAAAACCGGCTGGTGCCTAAGAGCCCTCCCCATTTAAGATAGCTCAAGCTTCGACTAGGATCTGCAGTGTGCATATCAACTAAGAAGCAGCCCCAAAGCCGCGGTTGAGGATTTAGGGATGTAGGTACTTAGGATTGAGGGATATAGGGTAGCGTAGGGATTCGGGTTTAGGGTTCATGGGTCCCTGGACCTTTAGAGAGCCTCCAGACTCAGATAGGACAGACCCTCAAAACAACCTCTAGGTTCTTTTCTAAGTAACTTCTAAGTGTCCTTCTTAGGCGGTTTGTCCTATCAGGTAGCTTTCCGAAATAGGAGGACCCCAATGTAGATCCCTAAATACTGTAATCCTTATTATGGGGACCCCCCAAATTTCATGAATTTCCGGGAAACTACCATCTGGGGGTCGCCGAGGAATGCACCCTGAACTTACTGGTTCGTAGTAGGGAAGATGGAATACATTATATGGGGATTATATTCCTAGAGGGTCTGTCACTCTCAAACCTAAACTGTCCTATCAGGCGTCCCCTAGGAATGTACCCTGAACTTACAAGTTCTTCGTAGGGAATAAGGGAATATGATCCCTATATAATATAGTACCTGCCCTAAACTCTGAACTCTAATCCCTATAAGATGCATCCCCCTATTCCGTATATGATACCTTCCCTACCCTAAGCCCGAAACGCGAATTCCTATGAAATGTGTTCCCTTATTCCCTACTAAGCCTGTGTAAGTTGTAGGAGAGTTGGTGCAGTGGATGCCTTCGTCGCGACAATGTGAGGAGCCTGGAGAGCCTGTCCTTTCAAGCAAGTAGACATATTTTAGGATTTACGGTTTAGGATTTAGTGTTTCGGGATTTAGGGTGTACTGTGTAGGGTTCAGGATTTACAGTTTAAGGTTTTAGGGTTGGCTACTGTGAGACCAGCTCTCAGTGTTCCCCTTCATAGACAATGATTCCATATTAAGAGGATTTACTATTTGGCGGTGGGGTTGTTTATGATGAGGGCGAGGTGCCCAGCATGGTGCTTTCCCAAAATGAGGGGTTCTTTTTGAAAGGGTGATAGTATACTGAAGTCCATTTCTGGAAAATATCATATACCTCTGAAGGCTAACCTGGAATATACCTTAAATATTGGGCACCTAGGCCGTAAACCCCAAACCCCCAAAATGTGCAAGTGTAGTCAATAAGCCCTCTCCGCTGTGGGAAGTTGTTTCCTTGAAGCGTACATGGCCTTGTGCGGATCACAAGGTTTTACATACAGGTTCATGGCAATTACACTGCAAGTATGATGCGTAGCTATAGCCTGGGTATTGCCCCCACTCTGTGATATAACAGCTGCTTAAAACTTATGATATAGCTCTGTATATATATATAGCCCTTAAAGTGACCCCAAGTATAGACTGTTGCAGGGTGGAGGCAGTAGATGGTTTTTTTCCCAAAAGAAGGGCACCCCAGTCTAGACCCAAAATACTAGACTCCTCAGTATATAGGGACTATAGGGCTCCTAAAAAGATACCCCTAATTCAGGAAGCCCCCGAATCCTAATCCCTAAACCACATCCATAGTTTAGGCGGATTGGGGGCCTCAGTGGGTAATCCGCAGGATCCAAGCTCTAAGCCTGGGGATGTCGGCGTTTCAGGGTTGGGGCAGCTCCATCCTGTGACTAAGGTGATATGAGTTTAGCGCTTGGGGTTGAGGGTTGGGAGTCTAAACTCCTTCAAGGGTGTTACGTGGGAGGTTTTATACGACAGTCTTATAGGGGCTATTAAGGGAAGTCTTTTAAGGGGCTATTCAGGGGGATACTTGGATTTTCGACTCTCATATGTGTTCTTAAAGGCAATTATATCCTATCCCTATATACCCCCTAAACCCTAAACCCTAAACCGCTACCAATTTAGAACCCTAAGAGCCCGTGAAGGGACCTAGATCCTTCTGACGCTTGAGATGCTCGAGGTAAGATTAATAACGGGGATATCTGGGGTTCTGAGGTTAGTATATGGAGTATAGGCAACGGAAGTATACGTACTAAGTCCCCCTGACCCTCCAAGTAGCCAATCCCTCCTTGAATGTTTTTACTTATGCGAGGAACATACAGGAATACCGTTTGCAATTATTCAGGCGCCTACATTCTCGACATGAGAGTCCAGATGCTCAACATTCACGTAGTTTCCCCAAGCATGTACTACAATACGAGTAATCTCACCCATATCTCAAGTACTCAATACTTGGGTGCTTGGACCCTTTGGGTTCAGGCGGTAATATCACGAACCACGTTTGTTATTTCTTACGATTATTGCAGAAGCAATTGCCTCGGCTGTTTGGTGGCACACCACAGAATTTTAAAGAAAAGCTCCACTGCAGCATTGAGACAAGACACGGTTGACCAGCACCCCTATGGCTGCTGGGACAGCAATACTCTGCCTTGCAGTCTGTCACGCACGTGAGGACTGTAGCGCGCCAGTTGCATCTGCTTAGTATTTGCAGAGGTGTCCAGACAAGCTCCGGAGGAAAGGTTGCGATTCTTGGAGGGTCAGGGAGACTCTGGAGGTATACGTAAAGCCCCTATAAGACGAATAGTAACCTCAGTTATCCCCCTGATTCACCTACTCACGCAGTCCCCCTGACCCTCCAAGTAGTATTTCGCTGTATGGGTATGATCATGACGCGGCAGGGGCCTGAGAGGTGGATTTAGAGGAGAGTCAGAAGGTGCCAACTGCCTTGAGAAATTCCTGTAAAGGACTGTAGGATATATTTGTTGCCTGTTTATGATACGGGTGTCCCCACCTAAACTTTGAACCCTAAACCGCGTGTACACGTCTGGAGCAGCCCGGGTTTTGAGCTGCAAGTTAAAGCATTAGCCCGCAGCAGGTGACTTCATAGCGCTCAGGGTCCCAGCACCTAAAGAGTACATAATTTAAGTCAAATCCGTTCATACATCCCTAAACCCTAAACCCTAGGGCCCAGATTGTTGGCTATTCAGGTGATTGGAGCTCTAGGGAGGTACTGCGGACGGCCAACTCATTCCCTCAGCCTGAGCTTAGGTCTGCGCTGGACTCTGATGCGGCGGAGGCGATTTCACCCGCCAACTGCAGCTCACAAGCTTCTGGGATGCAGACAGACCCCTGAGTTGAGCCACAACCATATGGAGGTTTCCTAAAATTAGGGGTACCTTTTTGGGTGTGCCCATAATAAGGACTATAGTATTTTGGGGTCTATATTGGGGTCCCCCTATTTAGCAACTCTTCAGGAGTGATGAGGTATGGTGGACGGGCCTGGCAGGAGCCCAAAGTCTGAACCCTAAGCCGCTCAGAGGGTCCTAGATATCTAGACAGGTCCTTGCCCGGGTAGCCAAGCATGTGCCCGCTACTGGCTGCGAGCCCCCACCCCCCCTGCCTTAGCCTAGGTAGGAGGTTCAGGTGCGATGTGCCATGAAAGAATTCCTCAGCGGGCCAGTATACCTACATCATATCCGGGTCTGGGGTGGTTTAGGGTTTTTGGGTTTATCCAATCGGAGCTCGCCTTGTGAAACCCCAGATGCCCTCCAGCCCTATCTGCTAGTGTTGGAAATCTGGGGAGGTTCAAATAGGCCCCCAGATACTCTAACCCTTATGATAGGTACCCCCCCAAAAACAGCCCTAGTTTAAGGAAACGCCCACTTAGGGAAATCGTAACCTGCCCCGAAAATCTTCGGAAGCAGGGGTTTAGTGTTTAGGGTCAAGCGTTTTAGGGTTGCAGGGATTTGGGGATAAAGGGTTTAGGATTTAAGGGTTTTGAGGTAAAGGGTTCACTTGCCAATATATTTCCAAATGAGCTGAATCATGAAAAAGCAAGTGGAAAGAACCTCCCAAAATGAAATGGTCCTGGCACTATAGGGGCTGGTACAGGGATTGTAATGTAGGAGCCTGTTTGATTACAACAGGATTATGAGGCTTCATAAGCTGCATTAGTATCAGCATGATGATATAGG